CATCTTTATCTTTATCTTCATCTTCATTATACACCTTCATCATCTTTACCTTCATCTTTATCTTCATCATCTTTATATTAACAAAACAGCATACAGGTAAGTGAAAATACCTGAATAATGCTTGAAAGAATGAGTAATTACCTACGAAAGGAGCAAACACAATTTTCTTCGCACGTCTGAAGGTTTTGCGGTTCATTCACGCATATGTCAGATAAATAAGATAGTTTTAGGACAAAACCATGATAACTTAGACAATAACCCTAGAGAAGGTACTTGATTACCTGCTAAGTACTTGTCAATGATAGAAATACTTGCCTTATTGCTAAGAAGTACTTTCTGAAAGTACTTGGCAAGTAGGGACAAGTACTTACAAGTAAATTTACTTGTGGAAAAAAGATAAGTACCAAGCAGTACTTGGCCCCAAGTACGTTCTCTAGGGAAAGAGTCAATTAAGGATTTTTTCCAGATGAATGTAGTGGAGACCGGAATGAACTGTGTTAGTCTGAGTGAACAGCAGTATGGGTCGCGTTTGAGATCTGATCGAGAGTTGCTGAAGTTAAAGTATGTTACCGACTGCGCATGAGTTAAATTCGTAATTACATCTTTCTACCAGAAAGATGGCGAAACAAAAAAGAGAATTATGAATAAATACAGATGTTAAAACTGAAGCTCTATCAAATAAGAATGTAATAATTTTCAATGCAGTTGCTTGCTTTCAGACAGCTTTTGTTCGCGCTATTTTTGGCCGATAACTATTAGCATGAAAGAATTTTGTTTTATTCCAAGCTGTATACATCGGTCGTTGATTTGGTCTAATACTTGACCTCGTATTTGTACCAACATCTTTAAAACGATCTTGTATTTCCCAGCTTTCTCCGTGTGCTACCCTATCTAAACCAAGGGCTTGATCTTTTGGATCTAGTCTGATACCAATAGTATACTGAAGAATGAGCAAAATACTCGCTGTAACAACGCTTACGAATCCAATTGTCGTCAATATACCAGCTAGTTGTCGCCACAGTTGAAAAGGATGACCGTAGAAAGCACCATCAAAACCAGCAGGATTTACAGCTTCTTGACAAAATAAACCT